CTGGAGAACCACGAGGAGGGCACGTGGCGATGCGTTTGTCCACTGGGAGTCACGGTAGGTAATACAAGGTGCAAATTTCAGTCCAACCACGCAGAAGTTTCGAAATCCCAAGAAACGTTGGTTAGAAATTCATCCTTTGTCCTTGAATAGATTGAGACATTAAGCTTTTCACCGCTATTGAGCTATTGAGCAAGATTTCCGAGTTTCACACGAGAGTTGATGATTCAGAAACAATTTAAAACAGTTTAAACGATTCAGCTTTTCGATTCCGCTGCATTATATTTAAACTTCAGGGGAAGAACTGCGAACTGCACTCACCGGATCCTTTACCCGAAACAATCTCGTTCTCGGGCGAGAACTCGTTCTTCTCCATGCCATCACCGAGCCAAATCGATAATTTCAGTGTAATTTTTTGAAGATCAAAGACCACAAACTCACATTGAGAGGCTGAAATTTCAATAATGATTCGCAGATTTTGAAACATTCATTTTCAAATTTGCAAAATTAGGATTCAATAGAACGAATAAGATTACTGTAGTAAATAAGACAGTAGTCGTTGTGTACTGTACTGTGTACTCACTCTACCGAGCCACACAGTGATGTACTAGAACTATTTAACTTAATTCGCGCTCTACTACTACGATACAGTACTGTAAACAACACTTTTTGTCGGCTATGGTTCATTTATGTTAAAAAGATCTTTGTTTCAACGTGTACAGCTCTTTACCTATTAAAACTAATAATAGTTGCTTCGTTTTTACAGAAAAAATTGTGTTTATACTTTTAAAAAAGTCAAATTCTTATCGTCGGGTGTTTGCTTTTCGAAACTACATGCAACCCCTCGTTCATTGAAACACACGCAATTTATTCAGGTCTCAATGAAAATCATGGTGCCGAAAACACCCAAAAACGAGTCGATGTTGCTGTATTTGGCCTCGTCCTATTCGGCGACGTCTAAGGGCTTCTTGAACTTGGCGATCATCGATAATCACCTTGTCTACATGTACGAAAATGGAGCAGGTTCGTCAAACACAAAAGAGAAAAGCTTCAACGCTTTTTCGATATTCAAAGTTTCAAATCCAAACTGATTGTGAGCCCTAAAATCGGCGTCCCAGCAGGGCTGGTCTTTCAGGCTCTAGGGCCAGCTCGCAAGAATGTCTTTGTGGTAAAAGTTGTGTTTCAATTCTGCGTATTCAAGCTCTCATTGCAAAAAGTCAATAAAATCCACATCTGTTCAGTAAACTTACAACTTGGCCAGCCACATTTATCTGATGAAAATATTTGATTTTGATTCCAGGGAAAACAACAATTTCTTCGACGCATCGATTGCACGAGGGTGAAGAGAATGTGATTGAGTTGAGACGGGAAAACGGGAAAACGACGCTGATTTTGAATGGACAACGGTCGAAGAGTGTGGTGAGGTTTCAAAAAAAGACATGTCATTGGTTGTATCACGAGCCAAAGGAATTAAATCCTTTCCTATTTGCCAAACTTGCAATAGGTTGAAACAGCGAAATTTCTGCAAAAAGCGTGACCTAATCCTGATGCTTGATGTCTTTAAAATGACAAAATCAAAAGACTTGGCATTTAGTAGAATTCAATTCTAATAGGCTAGGAATTATACATTCAAAAGCGCAAATCTTTCATTGTAGGACAAAGGGAAAATTTGCAGCTCAAATCCGGCAAAAATTAAAGTCAAACTAAAACATGAGCAAATGAGTTTAAAGAATTTTAAAATCTACTAAATTTTAAGCTTTTTACATTCAGGATTCCAATTTTTGCTGTTATTGTATAAAAATTGGACTGTACAAGTCCTGAATGTAAAAAGCTTAAAATTTAGTAGATTTAGTAGATTATCTCAATAGAAGTGCTAAATAATTTTCTTTTTCAAATCACTTTCAACATAAATTCTGTAATCATTTTTCTATGCAAAAGCTCTCGTTAAACTTGCTTCGGTTTGCCGAACGCTGATTAAATTGAAGCTGTGAAATTTTTTCGCAAAAATAGAGCTTTTCCAAGTCTATTGTCTTTTAAAAACGACAAAACTTACTAGATTTTGAATTCTTGACATCGAAAGGCATGCATTTTCTGCTAAAGCATTGAAAAAGCTCAGCCATATTCTAGGCAAGTTACATTAGAGTCAAATTGAGGCTTGTTGAATCGATAAACTCGAACCATAAGAAAAATAAGGTTAAAAAAATGTAAAATCGCATTGAATTTTTGGCATTCAGGATCTCAATTTTTTCTACAGGAAAATAATTAAAAGCATATTGAGAGCGTATAAATGAAATAAATTGAAACATGGGAAATTTAATCTGCATTAGCTGTATCCAGATACCAATTTTTTGCGTAAAGAGGATTGATTATATAGAGAATTTGACATGTACTTATAATTATAATTATAACCATTATGGTCCCATTGAAATCCCCATTTGTTCGAAAGGTTGAAACGCGAAAAATTTGACTCTCTAGTACTATCCCAGTCTTTCAAAAAAGCTGTCACCATTGACTTAATTAAGGGTTAAATTTGAATTATGTAAAATATGTGTACAATTTTCCACGAATCTCCAGACCTCATCCTCGTTCCGACCGGGCACCGATCTTTTTGTGGGCGGACTCTCGCCGGGGATCCCGAAAAATCGAAAAGCCGCCCTCGATCCGTTTGGTGGATGCGTGAACGAAGTAAGTTACTAAGTGTTCAAGTCAAATGGCGGCACTTGAAATTTAATTGGCATCGGTTGTTTTATAAAAGTCTAATCGTTAAATTTCTGCAACTTGGTTCATATTAAAATCTTTGTTTCAAAACTAGGGAAAATCAATATGCCTGCGTCATATGGTGAATCATTTTTTGTGTATATTACTGCCAATAAACTGATCGCAAATCCAGACGAGTTGAAACTTAAAAAAACAAAATTTAAATTTGAATCTTTCCAAATAGCTGGCATGCTTAACGTCTATTTCAGCTGATCGTCAATGGAAAAAGAGTGGATTTCCGCGCGAAAAACACCCATTCGTCGGGCGATTTGCAGAAATGTGAACGAACAGTTTTCGAGACGGCAAGAGATCGAAATGAGCTGACAGTGGGTTTTTGGGATTTCGAAAACTATTAGCTCAACTTTTTAATTTACACTTTAGGTACTTTTGTATCTTTACTCCGCCAATAGATTAGTATGCAAATTGATCTTTAACTACTTACTTCATTGAATTTTAGCATGTTTTATCCCAGTTTTGAGATGGTTATGAATCGATTTGAGCTAGAATTGATGAGTAGAAACCTAATAAAGTCATTTATACGATTTTTCCCTTATCTTTGCTAAACTAGGGACAAGATGGGCGAAATTTGCATTTATCCTGCTTTAGAAACAAGTATTTACTTTATTAAGCAATTTGCTAAAAAATGTAAAATTCCTGTGAATCGGATAGCAAAAATCCAGGTTTCAAAATTTTCTTGGTCAAAGCATGTGGGTTGATTTTAGTTCTAGCAGTTAGATTAGGTAAAAATGATGAAGTAGATTTTGTAAGCTGAATTCTGAATGCGCTTACGACTGAATATTTATTTGTTTGTTTTTATCCAGGAAAACCTCCCAGCGCCAATAAAACCCTCGATATTTGTGCCGACCCCACCACCAACTCGGCCACCAACACCAACGAGAAGATTTGAGGTACAGACACTAATCCGCTTTCTGAAACATGCCCCTTTCCTTTGTCTACCGTAATTTTGTCTCTATTCTTTATCCCATCTATCCGCTTTTGATATCTTTTAAACCCTCAGCAAAACAGCTCTGGAAATTACAGAGTAGCTCAATCAGTAAAACCAGACGACATTGAAAAAAGCTTTTCTCCAACCTATGTATTTGCATTCGAATTCTCAGTTTATTCCATCCCGGTCCACTTTTCTTGTAAGAATTCAAAAAGCAGCTGGTTTGCTTTGATTTGCTGGTTTGTATTGATTAGAGCAAGTTTCAGCTTCCAATCATCACCGAAGATCCGAATTTGCGTTTCACGCAGCTCCCGACGAGAGCTACGACAACGACAACTACGACAACAACGAAAAATCCGGAAATAATCATCCCTGAGCTGGAAGAAGAGACACAGATGAGTGAAATATTTTAAATCAAACTGAAAGTCGCAAAAGAAGAAAATGATTCGCTCATTTTCTTCTTGCTAGCCGTTCAACTTGAAACGCACTCTTTTTCTTGAATATAGCATTCAATTTAATGTTCAATTAGAGCAGCAAAACACTTTCAAGTTGGTGCTCATCTTAATGTGCTTTAAAATAGACGCGCTTTGATGCCCATTGCTTGTCCAAATTATCTTTTGTACTTCGATTCCACTCCTCATTCCTAATCCGAGATCTCCCCCGAATACAGTCATTTTGAAACACAGGATTTTGAATCTTGGGATACAGAAACATTGACCATGCAAAATTTCCTATAATTGATTAATTAATGCTTAGAATTGATCGTTGATCCAAAAAACTCATTTCAGACGGTCTTCGTCGTGCCCGATCATCTTCCATCGGAAGATCCGCACTTCGTTCGGCCTACTGAAGGAGCCAACATTGATCCGGGTGGGTTCCCAGAGGGGTGTAAAAAGTTATTTAAATAAAATTTTAAATTATTTTGGTATCTACTCGAATCTCAACGAGTTAAAGCCTACAAAATCGTTTATTATGTCTATTAAAAAACGAAAATGAAAATGAAAATCTCCAAAATAACTATTAAAACCAGCATATGATTTGGTCGATGATTAAAGTTGAAACATTGGAACACAAAAATTTCAAACAGTTTGCCGGAAAACCACATAGATTTTTAGGCCACCAACTCCCGCCGTATCCCGAAGACGAGTCGGCACTGGAAGGGCATGTTGAACCGGGAAAGGTTGGGCTTCGATTAGCTATGAATTAGGGCTTCGATTAGCTAATGAATGAAAATGCTATAAACAATTGATTGTAATCGTTTTTGGTATTTGATCAACTTCAAACCCAGCTTTGTGATCCCTAGGAACCCACCGAGGTGCTCGAATCCGAGGAAACGGACCAAAGATGGGAAACGCTGCAGACGGACAAACCGACTGAGATCACGACAACAACGACGACCACGGTATAGATACTTTGAGCTCTCCAAAATCTCGCAAACACCCCCTTTCTGGCGTAAACATTACTGCAATAATAGCAAATTTCTGATACACATGGATCTGTAACTGATATTTTATATCCAAAAACATATGATCCGACAAAATCTGCTCAAAATTGGAAAACTAAATGACTTTTTTAGAGATGAGACAGATGAATTATTGTTCAGAGAGTCATTTAAATTGAAACATATTCCAGAGCTGATTCTAGAGCCCATTTAAAAACAACTAAGCAACAACCAATATTTCTTTTCATCTGCAATCATTTTATATCAAAAATCTCCTTAGGCACCCCACATCCTCCCCACCGACACCGCCCAATCCAATGAGTGGTCAGCCGAGAGACAAATGAGCACAACAACCACAACGGAGGAACCGGAGGTCAATGAAATTACAGCTCAAACTAAAGAATTTCTTTTCTTTTTTTGCAGTTTAGAGTATTTTACAGAATTAACAAAAAACTTCCCGAAATTTGATCGAAAAGGTGTGTTTCAAACTCAGCAAACTAGCGGCTGGCCGACCAGGCTTAATTGATTTGTCATCGCTCAATTGCGAAATTTTGAAATCCTTTCAAGAGTTTGTCTTTGTTTCAAAGAAAAGTCTTGCTTCAACTTTAACTTAAAAACCAATCGTTAACTGGAAGTTTAACTTGAGAGTCAATCGTCCCAAGAATTTTCTCGTTCAAATTTTCAAAAGAATTTTGTTGTACAGTCCTGCTATTCCTAATAGCAAATTATAAGACTCAAAGTTCACTTGCAAATACACTTAATAGCAGGATAACCGAATTGCGCCTCTTTATATTTGAAAGAAGCTTGCTAGCAAAAAAAATTGCAGTTTCAATTTAAATAAGCTGCAGAACCATCTGTGAAAGCTGGGACTTTAAAAGCTTTGTTTCAACTTTAACGGCTTAACTTTTAGTTATCGAATCGAACATACGTTACATAAAACTCGAAAAAAGTTCCATATTATTTCTATGGAAATCTTCAATATGACTTTCAGCCCGAGGTCACCGAAATCGGCGCCGACGGGACGTTGCGGACGACTGATCGAGTGATTCGACCCACCGTGGAATCGGATTTGGATGTGAGTCTTTCAGATTGGATACGGAAAGTTGAAATATAATATTTTGAACAAAACACGCAAAATAACTGTGGTTTTTGTGCAGGCAGCCATCGAACAAGCCGACGATTATCCGGTTTTCACGCCGAGACAAGAGGAAACCAATGAAGAGCACTTCTACGAATTGTCGACGGATCGGGAACCAATGGAAGTACATTTTGAGAAGGTTTGTGAAAACTTTCCAACTTTTCTCGTATCAATCTGTTTCGAAAGTGTACACTTTGAAATTTCATGTTTTCGCTTAAATCAATGAGCTTCCTAATCAAAGTTTTTAAAAAATGCTAGCGATTTAGCCCACCCCAACCCCATCAATCGTCACTGAGACCGAAAAAGAGTCACAAGAGGAGATCACAACGACAGTGATCATTCCCGCAGAAGAGGCTCCGTCACAAATCGCTCCGCATGGTAGGATAAAGTGAAATAAAAGTCTAAATCGAATTCCAGAAATCCCAACCCAAGCCGAGACCTGGCACGAAACGGAAACCCGACCCGAGCTGGATCCTGGAGATTTGGAGCCAACCGAGTTGCCGACCCCGGAAGTGAATGATTGGTGGGGTTTTTAAGAGTTGATTCGTTTAGACAATGATATTTTGAAAGAGAGTTGGTGATGGTTAATGCAATAGAAAAAGAAGAAAATCTCAAGTTTGACCGAAAGCTTTTTAACTCTAATTTCGTGTCGAAAGTGTGTTTTTCAATTTTGTGTATTTTGATAAAGATCAACAGTTATTTTCATCTAGGGGTCAATTTTTCTCAAAGATTTTGAATTTCGTATTTGTTTTCCCGTAAAGTCGACCTTTTTTGATCTTTCTAGAAATAGAGTGGTCACAAGTAAAGAAAAAATAAGTTGAAAATTGAAGTTTCAATTTCGACCTCATCAAATAGTTCAGACGTTTCATACGCTAATGTGTTACTGAGAGTTGCTCAAATGTGAAAAGGCAGAATACAATCAGATCCAATATTCTGCCAAGCAAATTTGTTTGTTTTCTTACTTGAATGAAATCTTTTTGAATTCAGGTCCACTCAATTACCCATGGCCGATTTGAACGATCACAGCGGAGAGCTGAGCGGCGAGGAGATCCGCGTCGGGACACCGGTTTGTTCGGGATAATTGAGTTAGAAAATATTTTTAAAAATACATTACTTCATACGAATAATGTGGTACAAACAATATACAAGCACAACCCCTAAGCCGTAAATGTAGGAAAAAAACCATATATATGAGAGAAAAGAACTAATAATCCAATCCTTGACCCCCCGACTAAGATCCGGGATTCTTAGCCAGTCGGCCATGGCGGTCATTTGCATTTGAATTAAAGCTATATCTATCCAACCCTATAAGCTTAAACTAACATGTAATATCTCTTTTATCAATTTTGCACAAGGCAAGCGAAAAAAAGCACTAAACGACCGGCTTTTGCCTTCAGACTCAGAAAGATGAAACATAGGATTTTCCATCGATTGAAACGAACTTTACTAAGATTAGCGTTTAGATTATTCCACTGTGTCGAAGAAGTTACAATTGAAAATAAAAACTTCGTTAAAAGATATCTAAAACGTACATTCTATCCCATTTTAGTCGCCAACTCGAGCGCCAACAACCGGTCGGCCGACCACCGAGCAGACACATATTGCTCAACCTGATCCGTATGTGACACCGTGTCCCGGTGGGTTTTAGCGTTGACAAACAAGTTTAAATTTTAGATCTAATAATTCCAAACTACCAAATTACCTAATTTTCCAGGTGGTCGCTGCAAGTGGGCGGATTTGTGCGCCGGACAGCGCTGCGGGATGAACGGAGTGTGCCGGCAACTGAATGAGAGCCATTTCGAGTGCCAATGCCGAATCTACTACGATGGACCGAATTGTGATATTTGTGAGTGGATCTAGAGATCTCTCTAGATCTCTAAAGATCTAGAGATACTGAAAGTAGTTCACTTGCCTTGTCTACAGTAACCCGGACTGTGGAAATCAAACTCAAAATCTTTCAAATTCTTCGATAGATGGTCGTACTCACTTTCGCCAGCAATCGTCAATATATTAACCGTTAACTGTGCACTTCGTAGCCGTTCAACTTGAAACTTGACTTTTTAGAACGTCTCAAAGTTTAGTATACGATAAAATCCTCTTAAATTTAACATAGATTAAGGCTTCAGAGTCACTTTTCATTTTGTGATTCAGCTTTCATTTTGATTTCACGATCAGATCCAAAGAAGTTTGGTACAAAAGACACGATAGAAATAAATAAACCTCTAAAGATATCCGGCAACGTAACTTTTCAGTCAAACCGATCGAGCACGCGGCCCGTTTCGATGGAGACGCCTTCATCGAGATGGCTGGCGATGATTTCCCGCATACGGTAGGGTTCACAGGGAATAGAAAGATCAGTAATCAGTGCTTTGCTGTATGTCCAGTTTTTGACTTCAGGATTGACATTTTGAACGTTGAGCAAGCCTATTAACGAGAGCCATTCATTTGTCGGTCTGAACCTTTATAATTTTCAGAGCAGCGAAATCGAGGAAACAATCGAGTTCAAGTTCAAAACGAAACACATGAATGGGGTGAGTGAGAATCATTTTGATACACAAAAAATGATGTTTGTTTCAAATTGAATCGGATTACCGTAAGATCTCAAAGTTCAATGGATATGTGAAGCAATATAACATATTTGAATTTTATCTAAAGTCAAGATGCAATCAAGATCATTCTTTGAGGTGATGCTCTGGCAAGGGCAAAACCCGGATCAATCGCTGGTTGGTGAGGACTATGTGTCGATTGGTGTCCGAGATGGGTTCCTCGTTTTCGCGTGAGTGCGAAAATTAAACAAAAAACGCATTCAGGATCAGTGATTGCACATTTTCTAGACAAAATTTGGTTTTGTTTTTGATTTCAAGCTCATGCAAAAGTCTAGAGTTGTTTAAAAACGTAAAACACTTGATTTTAGCTATGAGCTTGGCGGTGGCGCCGCCGAGATGGTCAGCCATTTCCGTGTCGACGATGGATTGGAGCACAATGTGAGTTTGGAAAGCGGAAGGAATGAAAATCTCTTTCAATTTGAGAATGAGATCGATATTGATATTGAAAGGCTTTTCCAATCATTGAATATCCAGCATTCAATCCACTTTGTTCAAGTTGAAACTAGGAGTCACTTGATCATTTATTAGTCTGTACTTTGTGCCGCAAATCTCGCAAACACCTCATTTCTGGCGCACTTAATTCTTCCATTTTTCCTCACAGCAACAGAAATGGAAGAATCGAGTGCGCCAGAAGGAGGATGTTTGCGAGATTTGAGTACAAAGTACAACAAAACAATAACAATGGAGAAACGGTGGTCACGATGAGTCGACAAAATTAAAACCCCCTAGATTTTTAACTTTTTAAAATGATCAATTATTATTTAAGTTTCAAATTTACCCAAAATCGTTGAGGTGATCGCTTTGCGGAAAGGCCGCGACGGGGCGATGTTCGTCGACAATTTCCCGCCAATCAACTCCTCCAGCTCGGGCATTCTGGCGATGCTCAATGTTGATGGCAATATTTTCGTTGGTGAGTGCGGGATTTATACGGACCAACTAGTTGACTAGTAGTAGAACTCAGGACTTCGGCACTGATTAAGTTGAAACATTGCAAGTATTAGTCTAGCGGACATGAATCCATTGCAGGCGGTGTTCCGGATCTCTCCTTTATGACTGGCGGTCTGCACAGCTCGAACTTCATCGGCTGCGTGGCGGATGTGACGCTGAACGGGGAGAAGTTGGATCTGATGGGCTCGGCGGTTGACGGGCAAAACGTGCGCCCGTGTGACGAATGGGTGACCCCGAAGAGGTACCTCCATGCGGTGAAAAGAAGAAAAAGAGCTGGGAATGGTGAATTTGAGGAAATGCTGAGGGCAGACAGGTTTGGCTTTGCATGAAAGGAATCACATTTGTGTGCCAGGTTGTGTTTCAGCTACAAAGTGCAATAGCTTGTTGCTTAGTCAATCGGTCAAGCACAGTATAAACGAGTAGAATTGATGTTTTTGTGAGCCAGCTGGGATGTGTTTGCACTCGAAAGTGCGCACAAAAGTTCCAGCAAGCTATACGGTATAGTTGCTTGTTAAATAACCGTGGGTTGAGCTCTAAGATGACTTTGCTAATCTATCAAGCCCGCTAATCTGTGCCCAAAGATACGATTGATGTACCAGACGGGATGTGCCTGTTAGGCGGTTGACGAGCGTACTAGGCTTATTTTTACGGCTGAGAGTCGAGTTTTACACTGTAAATGTGCGTTCTAGTTGACAATGCCTGGTTTGTTGTGTGTGTTTGGGCTAACAGTTGTGCTTGTTCAAGAATTTCAAAGTTGTTCCCTTTCTGTTATTCTGTAATCTCAAAAAAAAACGTGTATAAACTCAATTTCCAGACGCGTTCGCTCGCGGCATGGCTGGGGAAGAAATTTTTGAAGAATCAGCGATTCCCAATCAATCCACCAAAGAGACAACAGCAACTTTGAAACTCGAATCTTTTTTTTCTTCGTTTTCTAAATTTTAAATCTTTAAAAAGTTCAGTTATTTTCAAAAATGCTAATTTTTTTTAAACTGTTATTATATTATTTAAAAATTAGACTCCTTTTGATAAGATTAGCCTTGAAACACTCATTTTTCAAACCCAGACTTCAAACCCAAATTTCTCGTCAATTTTCTGAATTTTGAGACCGAATAATTGGAAATTTATACTAGATATTGAGGCCAATATTCATTTTTTTGGAAACTTCTAAATTTTGAATCCGAAATTTCTCCCAATCACTGCCATTGCTTTTTTTCCCGGTGCTTCTAGTCAAATTTTCTCTAACTCTGAAATTTTTGCAGTTACTTGTAGATTTTTATCCATTAGCTGAATACCTTTCTTCCATTTTAGTTAAGAATTAGGACTTATAGACTTCCATAGGCTTTTTCCAGGCCAAATTATTTCTTGCCAAATTCTTCGCTTATTGTGGTGCGCGATGCTGGTGATATTGTGCTATTTTCGAGAATTTTTGAATTTTTTTGTAATTCCAAAAGTTTGCTAGACGTTTTCTGATAAATATTTATTCGTTTCAAAATGATCAATTGGTGATTGGCAATTTTTGAAAAAAAAAACTGAAAGAACCAACGGAAAAGGCGATTTGAGAAATAATATGTGCACGGAATAGCAAAACAAAAAGGAAAAAAGGAGTTTCGCCGGGCAGGAGATGAGATGGGTTGGAAAATGGAAAATTGATTCTTCTTCTGTGCAATTCAAAAAGTTCAAACAGAAAAACAAAAAAAAACAGAAAAACAAAAAACATGAAAAAAATCCAAAAAATCTTTGTCTTGATTTGTTTTGTAGTGAATTAATAAACCTAATAATTGATAATAATAAACAAATTTTCTAAAATTTTCCACAATTTATTGAAAAACAAGAAAAAACGATGCTGGAGATCCCGAAAATGACTTTCGGGATCTCCAGCATCCAAGGAATCGATGGGTCGAAAACTTGATTGTAGAAGCCCACGAAGAGAGCATTCTTGGGTCCAGCCACACCATGTTCTCGGCGATAGTTGGCTCTCTTGCAAGCAAACCTAAATAATATATTAGGTTGATGCATAAGTGTTTTTGTTCCTTTTCGTCTGCCGTTTCAAGCCAACAAATGCACGAATTAAACTACGGTTGATTTCATTAGAAAAACCAATTATTTTTGCTACAAAATAACATTAAAACGGGTTTAAAAATATTGAATGCCTGGATTTTCTTGAGAGTATGAAGTCGGGTAGTCAAAAAGGGCTAACTCGATGATGCGGTTTAGACACCTTAGCTAAAGAAAACCTATCTTCGTGTCAATAGATAAAAGATAGAGAAAGAAAAGTTTGATATTTCGCCAAAATTTCAGAGAAATTCATTCAGCCAATTTTTCCGTAGAGTTTTTTATAGATTTTTACGAAAAAGGCGTTTTTCACTCTCGAATTTGCTTGAAAGTGAACCGAAATTGATTTAAAAAGATGGAAATTGAACAAAAAAACACTTTTTTTATAGAGCAAACTATAGATTAATTGGTGAATTTGTTACTTTTTAACAGAAGTACGAAAAAAACGAAAAGACTTATGCATCAACCTATTAATATTCAATATTAAAGGATATTAAGATATTAAAGAGATTTTAAATAGTTTTAAGAAATTAAAACTTACCAACTTCAGATAATAAGAGGATCGTGACCAGGAGATCTTCAAATAACAGCTTGAGAATCATTTTCTCAAAGAATCAGTATCAAACCATAATCATATTTATATATTTCTTGCAAATCTTCAATTTGACTTTCAGCCTTTCAGAATTTGACTTTGAAATCGGCGCTGGCGGGACGTTGCGGACGACTGATTGAGTGATTCGACTGACCGAGGAATCGGATTTGGATGTGAGTCTTTCAAAATCAAATGAAATATTTTTAACAAAATCTCTAGAATGGAGTTTACAAAAAGCATTCATTGGGAAATCAAAAAGGGGAACAACAACAACAGAAAAACCGAAAATGCAAAAGGGGAGTTGAACAAATGAAGACAACTTTTTGAGTAGAAATTGGTTAAGATTACCTTTTTAGAGCTTCTTAAAACACTTAAAACGCATTACATCTTGACCCTACGGGGTCAAGATGTAATGCGAATGAACGCTTGATGTGCCGATGTGTGGCATAAGGCTGTTCCAATCGTCGGTGGCGCTGTCGAAGTGCTCAAAGAATTCGATTGAACTTTGTGTCGTAAAGTGCTTGTTGAGCAGCTTGTTCTTGGGATAGGTGTCTGGAGACACTTCACGACCCACTAAAATAAATTGTACGTATTAGCTTGGTAAATATGAAAGGTTATTTTTTACAAAAAATATTGCCCTGTCGTTACGAAGAACATTCCCTGTCTAGGATTTTTCTCAATAATATGTCAAAATGTGCTCATGTTTTTTTTGCAAAAACATTTTTGTTTTGAACAATATTTGTATTGTTTCAGCTCGGCAAAGATGGGTAACCAAAAATTTAAAATCAGGGCCGCCATTTTCTTTGAATGCAAGTTAAACAAGAAAGCTACGGAATGCCATCAGAACATTTGTACTGTTTTTGGAGAAGCTACTCTTAATTACAAACAATGTTGTGTTTGGTACGGTCGCTTCAAAACGGGAAACGAGTCATTGGAAGACGCACCACATGGAAAGCCGCCGATTACTTTGGACGATCAGCTGTTACTGAACGAGGTCGACTTGGATCCATCGCAAAAGTGTAGAAAATTAGCAGAAAAGTTCGGATGCACTCATGTTACCATTTACACGTTCTTGGGAAATCATATCGAAGCGGGAAATGGCTCCCCCACGACCTCACTGATGCCCACAAAGTCACACGAGTCACCTTGAGCTCTGTTCTTCTACGTAAAGCTAGCCATCGTGACTTTTGGAAGTATTTTTTGACATCTGATGAGACTTGGCTTTCGTATGGAAATATTCAACTCTATGGACAGTGGCTGAGTTCGAAGCGGACCTCTCATTCTATCCCGAAGCCTCCGAAAAAGTTATGCTTTGTGTGTGGTGGAATGCTAAGGGATTGGCTCATTTGGAAATATTAGATAAAGGAGACACTGTTGACGGAAGACTTTATGCAGAACAAATGGGTCGAGTCGATCCAGCATTGAGGAAAAAGAGGATCGATCCATCGAAGGTCAGATTTCTTCACGACAATGCTAGGCCTCACATTTCAAATATCGTCCACGAACAAATCGACAAGTTGAGCTGGAAACTTCTTCCACACCCACCATACAGCCCTGATCTAGCCCCATCGGATTACCATCTCTTTCGGTCAATGACACAAGCAGTTTCTGGACAGCAGTTCAAACAAAAGCAGGACATCGAAAATTGGGTTGCCAACTATTTTGCCTCTAAAAATCTTTAATTTTACGAGGACGGTATTCGTGATTTGGGGCAACGTTGGAAAGAAGTTATTAATGCTTGTGGTGAATACATTTGATTTTGAAAGTGCTTAAATAAATTTTTCTGTTATGTTAAAAATGATCAAAAAAATAACCTTTCATATTTACCAAGCTAATAAAATAAAAAAAACGACGCCTTGTACCAAGCAGTTACCGCCAAAAATCTAAACAAGGTCACTTAAATCTTTTTTAAAAGGTGGCATTTCTGAAAGTAAACGAAGTGTGACGTGCATGCTGCGAAGTCTAAATAAATCAGATACCTTAATTCACGAAATGATATCAATAAGGTACTGAGACCGACGGTTTACAAGAAAACCAAAGATATTTTACAAATTTATTGGACAACATATGAATTAAATAATTAATTGCATACAAAAGCACATTTTCATCAAAAATTTCGTTTCAGCTCGATAAGAACGCCATAGCATACTTTTCCTTCAGGTACGCGCATCCAAAATTTACTATGTTAACGCATTTACATAACTGAAATACTTGGATTCTAATTCCAGATCGTTTATTTTTATTTTTGTCTCTGGTAGGAAGCTTTTTGAGCTCTATTCTGCTGCTACTCAGTTTCCTTAAAAGTTTTTTTGAAAAGCCAGAGGATTCTCCTCTTATCTTCCAGCCAAAATAACGTTAACCACAAAGCTAAGACTAAGCTAAGACTAAAAGATTTCTAATAAAACTAAAGAACCAAGAAGAGCAAAACTTTAGAAGACCTGCATTCCTTCTTTGGTTGCGGTCCAATCTCTCGATCGTCGGTCGGAAGCCTCTGGCTCCTCTGTTGTTGAGTCGACATCTTCAGCAACTTGAGACATTTCTTCGCAAACTTTTCAATCATAAAAAAACTATAAACAAGTGCTTAGGAAGGCAACTAAAACGAAGAACAATCAATAGAACATGGTTATGGGGCGATTGACATGTGCACCTTACTCTTTTTAAAACTTGGAGACAACAGATTAAAAGGTAGAACTCATCCATATGATATGTAAAAAAAATAAAGCTACGGCTGAACAAGTCTAACAAAAATGGGCCTGTACCAACATAAAGGGGTAAGCACATAGAGAAAAATTAAATTTTTTTCTCAAAACCTTTCTTTTATATGCCCGCCTAGCTAACTAATTAATTTTACTCAGGTAAATATCAATACTTACCTTTAATATAATCATTTTCGACAAGAAAACAAATAATTAGCATTCAATTAAAGGGGGGGGGGGTATTAATCGCGGCCGGGTGACGATAAAAATTTTTTTTACGGCAACCACCTGTTTTTTTGTTTTAATATCGCTGATTTTATTATAAAAAGAATAAAAATCACCCGGCTAGAGTGATTTGATGGGTTTACAAATTTTTGGAGATGCTGCAAGGCTTGGAGGAAAACAAGATCGTCACTCATCAGACACCTCAGCACAGTCTAGATCGATTGAGTTTTAGTTGCAGATAAATTTAAAAACAAAATAAAAAGCACAAAAAGTAATAAAAATAAATTGTTAATCTATAATTCTTCCTCTTGCTCACTTTCATCTTCGCTCAAGTACAGCAGTTCGGCTCAAGTACAGCAGTACAAATCGGCTTCCTATCTTATCAATTTCCAGCGCATCTTCACCAAAAGTGACTGGATCTCCTCCATCGTAGGACGTCTTCAGCGCTTTGATTGACACAATTAGATCTTTTTTCATTTGTGGTCGCTTATGGTTTTAGTTTTCTCAAATAGGTGCCTTTTAGCTGAGGTGTCTGATGAGTGACGATCTTGTTTTCCTCCAAGCCTTGCAGCATCTCCAAAAATTTGTAAACCCATCAAATCACTCTAGCCGGGTGATTTTTATTCTTTTTATAATAAAATCAGCGATATTAAAATAAAAAAACAGGTGGTTGCCGTAAAAAATTTTTATCTTCACCCGGCCGCGATTAATACCCCCCCTTTAATAAAATTTATTTACCAGGGAGGAGTTTCGGCAGTATATTTTGGAGACTAAGCTCCTTCCCTTACAACTCCCTTATAAGATATATAATATATTATAATATATATTCTAATATAATATATATTAGGGGAGTTGTGAGGGGAGGAGTTGTGAGAGGCCAGGACCTTACAAAAGTGTCTTGAAAAAATTTTTGAACGCCTACCCGTAGAGGGGATGCATAAAAATTGAATTGAAAATTGAAGTTGGGGAAAGCTGTCTGTTGTTTCATTTTGTCATTAATCCATTCCTTATTTTCGGTGAAGCAGTGACACAGATCAAACGGATTTTTTCAGCGACTCCAGAGCTTTCAGAGGATGTAAAAAGAAAGTCTCTTCGCGCTTTTTCGCAAAAATTTCCAAAATTTCCATCAAACGCTTCCTGATTTGATTTTCTTTTGATAAAAGTGGATTTTATTTCCCATAATTACACACGAAAATCAGAATCAGAAATACTCTTATTTGCTGGATATCGCAAGGAGTCGGTTTCTTGGGTCTAACCTGTGTTTAGAAAATTCTGCCTTTGCAAATGCTGTCTTTTCTACCTGTTACAAATACAACGGTGACCCCCCTCCCAAAGAAGAAAAGAAGGCTCTTTTCTCTGTTCTGTGACACATTTATTCGTTCAAACTCATGCAAAGTCCGAATTGGAGAAATTTTGTGTCTTCAGAAATTTTATCTTCGATTTCCCACTGTTGGAGTGTGAAAGTCCGAAAAAAGTCACTTACACAGATAAGACCGTTTTTTTCAGCCAAACTAGCATTTCTCATAAAACCAAAGTATGAGATTTTTACCTTACTTTGTTTTTCATCCCATCATAAATGCAAGTTACGATTATTTGTTGCTTCGAGTACGGTATATTATCTTTTATCGTCAAGCTACAGTAACATTATTACATCTGGACTTACGAACGCTCAAAGCTTTATAGTAAAAAAAAAAGTTTTAGTACATTGAGAACCAATTTAGTAGTGAAGTTGAAATTATATTCGAAAAACAAAGGACCACAACACAATCCGAAGGTGTGTTTTGGTCGATCAAAGGACTATAACCCTACCCATAGGATAATTATAGTCGGCTAAGAGCTTTCGGTTTAATAACCTAGGCTCGGTTGCCCCAAGGGGCAACTTCGTGCCATAATCCAATACGAGGCTTCCTGGCATGGGCCAGTTGGATGTTGGATGACCTATGCCGATGGTTGTAGAAATTTTCTTAAATCTTCTTATTCTTGGGTCTTTTTTCTATCTCTTGCCCTTTCTAAAAACAATTTCAATAGCTAGTTAGGATTGTGGATAGATGGGATTATTTTGATTGGTCTTCTGGCTCTTTTTGCTTACAACCGTAAGATAAGCTTGTGATCTATTATTAAAAATAAAAAAAAAAAATCTTAAATTCCAACCCCCCCCCTTATTTCCCTCCATTCACCCCCCCCCCTTCCCAAACCCCCCCCCCCCACCCCCCACAAAAACCCTTTAATCTTTTTAAAAAATCAAAACCCCCCCCCTCAAAACCCTTCCCCCCCCCCCCAAAAACCCCCCCCCCAAAAAAAAAAAAAAAAAAAAAAAAAAAAAAAAAAAAAAAAAAAAAAAAAAAAAAAAAAAAAAAAAAAACAAAAAAAAAAAAAAAAACAAAACACAAAATTTTTTTTTTTTAATTTTTTTTTTTATTATTTTTCCCCCCACCATCCCCCCCCCCCCCCCCCCCCAAAACAAACCAAAAATAAATTTAAACCAAAAATTTAAACCAACAAAAAAAAAAAAATAACCCCCCCAAAAAAACACAAAAACCCACCAAAACACCACCAAAAAAAAAAAAAAAAAAAAAAACCAAAAAAACACAAAACCAATTACCTTAAACAAAAAACACTTATTTTTAATTTTATTTTTTCCACAAATCCCAAAAATTATAAAAAAAAAAAAAAAAAAAAAAAAAAAAAAATTTTTTTTTAAATTTAAAAAAAATTTAATAATTTTTTTTCCTTTTTTAAAACTAACCCAACCCCCCCATTTCCATTTCCATTTTTTTTTTTTTTAATTTTTTTTTTTTTTTTTTTATTTTTAAAATTTATAAAAAACCACAAAAAAAAAAAAAAAAAAAAAAAAAAAAAAAAAAAAACCCCCCAACCCCCCCCCCACCCCCCCCCCCCCCCCAACCCACCCCCCCCCCCCCCCTCCCAAAAATAAAAAAAACCTTTAAAAAAAAAAAATTTTACCCCCCCCCAAAAAAAAAAAAAAAAAAAAAAAATTTTTTTTTTTAAAAAAAAAAAAAAAAAAAAAAAAAAAATTTTTTTCCCCCCTTTTTTCCCAAAAAAAAAAAAAAAAAAAAACAAAAAAAAATTTTTTTTAAAAAAAATATATTTAAAATTTTAAAAAAAAAAAAAAAAAAAAAAAAAAAAAAAAAAAAAAAAAAATAAAAAAAAAATAAAAAATTTTGTAGGTTCTTCCCAAAATATTTCAGGCTTTTTTTGTTTCAACATACAATTTTTTTGAAAGACCTACATAGTCATTGAATTTCTCCAGAAAATGTCGAGGTATTTATGATTAGTGAAAGTGCCGGCTGAGGGAAAACAGAGCATGAGAAAAGATAAACCGCCTTTTTCTGCCTTATCGCAAGAGAACTTTAGCTTTTTATTTTTGGGTAAAGGCACCGAACTTGCGATCAAATTTTAAGATAAATTTCACCCTTTTTTCGCAATCCAAAGCTTAAGACAATAACTCAATTTAACTGGATACATCACAAATCGTTGCATGGGCTTTTTCAAAGTTTTTCACTCAAATGACAAACCCTGAAAAGCTGTTTTTACCAAAGGGTTTCAAAAATAGATTTTTCGTTTTTCAAATGGGCATTCTGTTCAGTTTTTTACTATTTCGGAAATAAATCCTTCCAAATCCAATCGAATACCTAATTGCAGATTGATGGAGACGCCAAAATACAACATGCAAGCCAAAACATATGATCGCTTGATGATCACCTTAAAAAATGAAATGACCGAGTCAAACAAGAAAAGAGAAATTTTGGAAACGGAGGTGTGTTCTCTTGCACCTACTTAGCTGCTCATCATCGTTTCTTAAGCTAAAAGAAAAGTCGAGACCAATGGTTTTTCGTGAGGCTGCAGCCAACTTAACGTCTTTTCTCTTTGGAGCCACATCGGCGATTTGCGTGCTGGTTGCGCCTGCCACGGGTGGAGCTACAATAATTGGTGAGTTTCTTGGGTTTCGTGGCAAGGTTTTTTTTCAGAAAATGCTGCTGACTGATCCAAAATTTGCAGTTGCTTTTGCTCTTGGAGCGAGTGCGGTTGGTAGTGGATCAGTGGCGGCTGGCTTTCATATAACGGGGAACATACAAGATGCGGTTAGTTGCAGTAACCAAAGTGCCTTGTATATGCCGTAGCCGAGTTGCTATCATAGCAAGCAACTCAGCTAGCCGATTTGGTATGACACTTGGATGCAAATTTTAGGCAAATTTTAAATGCAAGCTTCTGCAACAAGTTAATAAGGAACTTGTCGAAAGTTTAAGCCTAAGCCTAAAGAGAATTGACTAAATTTCGTTCCCCCGGATTCTACACAAGTACACAAGCAATTTGCATTTAACTGTTTATAGCAAATTGCCATGATAGCAACTTGACTAGCGAAATAGAAAAACGGCTAGCAAAAAATCTTCATAGCAACTCATATACATTGAAACATTGATTGACATATACATTGATTGCAAGATAAGTTTAAGCTACGAGTAGTCTTAATGATTTGCAAGATATTGGTAGTGGACGTAACCAGAATTATTAGCGTCGATTGAGTGACGAGATTGCCGAGTCTTTCAAAAAACCGATCCGGATCCTTAATGCCTACGAAAGAGCAGTAAACAGTATGCGACAAGATGAAGAGAATGAGTTAAAAATTTATGTCAACAGGTGGGCAAAAAGAAAAGAAGCACAACATTGTATGCATAGGTGGGTTTTGTTTTTAGAGCATTAAGCCAGCGAATCTTGAGCGGATTTTTTCGTGTTCTTAACCCGATCCCAAATGCGGGAGTCGCCGCAGCTGTTATGGCTGCGAGAACGGTAAAAATGGTGGGATTAAGGGTCAAAAGATTTTTTAGATTCCCTCTTTTCGAATGACTGCTGCGGCCATTTTGCCAGGCATCGGAGGTGACATTTTGTAATTGTATGCTTAATTTCCAACATTTTTCAATTGTATTTACGAGCCAAGGGTCGGTATATCTGCACTGGAGATGTGCCAGAAGGGGATAGGGTCCGATAATCAAAACCCGAGTAAAAGCGTTCGTCTAACTCGCTCGGATTGCATCCAGGAACTCTGAGATATTGAAATTCGGAATCTAGACCCTCAAGTTATCCAGAAAAGCTACATTAGAGAAGGAAACTTATAAATTTACGTTTTTAGTAGCCTTTAATCGCCGGGCCTTCTATTTTTTTCTTCTCCCTCTAGACGATTTGTCAAAAAGTAAACAAGAAAAGAAATGTATTTTGCTCAAAAGTGCTTTACTAGATAGGCCTTAGCCTAATTAGTGCAAAAAAAATCGTGTTTTTGGACAGTTCCCCAAAACCCAAAAGATAAGGACCGGAAAATTACCCAAAATTCTCTCAATTCATGCCAAAAATCAAGGCCATTTTTGATTTTTTTGTGTTTTCTAAAAAATTTTTCTAAAATTTGTATGGTTTACCCCGCATTATATTGGCTGAGGTCTAAAGTACACGATTCCGTCAAGAAAACTCCGGTCACAAGTCAATGGCACTGGACCTGATTTTCATCTATTAAATGATATGCGATTTTTGCTAAAAGTTACAAGTTTCGGACCCTGGGCCCAGCTCCGGGAGCAGTTTTGCATTGCATCAACTATTGTCCAGAGAATTGCTCTCCAAATTTTTCAGCAGCTTGCGATGCGCTCTTTCTCGGCTTAAACATCAAGGATCTCTACAAGAAGGACACGAGTCGAAAAGCAAACGAATTACAAAATGTACGCTGAAATTACTCTCTATAAAATTACTATTCCTTTCCAGTACACAAAACAAGTCGATCATCTGATTGAATGGGTTGAAAGGGACGTGAAAAGACGGAAAGTGGTCTACTTGTACGATTCCTTTGTAACGACCGGGGAACTAAACACCGTTATGGACCTTCAAATATCCGATTCATTGGATCTTTTCTAGATACCTAGCTTTTGTTCCATTTCTGTTTATGGCCCAAATAAACTGCTTTGTTTATTTGTGTCTTTTTCCAATTTTTAAGGATTTATCCCTTTCTTTTCTGTGTTCTAATCCGAAATGTTCCTTCTCGACACTCTAATGTCTTCTAGTGCTGAACGTCGTCAAGAAAATGGTAATTCTCAATCAGCTGTTTCGATTTCGACCTCAAATGATGCCGGTATACAGCACAACCATTTGATGTTTAATATATTATTGATAAGAAAATTAAGAGAAATTTCTTTTTACAATTGTTACTTAACAACTATCTAAGAGACTGAACACCAAAACTCTTTAGTTGGTAAGATTCGAAGATAATGAAATTGACATGGAAAAAGAAGATAATGAAATGGATATGGAAAAAGAAGAAGAGCTCAAGAAAATCAGCCCAATTATCGATGAAGAGAATTTCGCCTCAATACTCAAAAAAGTTGGAAAAAAGCCAGTAATCTCTGCTCATTTGAGATTCTTTTATCGCTTTTTGCTTTTCAGGTGGCCATTATTGGCGTTTGTGGTAAAAGAAGGACGGGGAAAAGTCTTTTACTCGAAATGATTCGAAAGTTGTCCAAGAATGAAAAGGCTCTCGACGATCCAAAGACTAGACTAAGGTGAGGTGATTGGCTATTACTTTCGAAAGAAAAAAAGAATCTTCCCAATTTTCCGTTGCACATAGAGCTTATCAAAAATTATTGGCAATACTTGTCGGTACAAGTACAATAGCAGCACCAGTACCTTATTGGTACTGAAACGATTATGGTTAGAGATTTTTTACAACCATTATGACCTCAATCCCCCGGCTACTCTGCATTATTTACACAAAAGTCTAATATTAGTCTGATATTGATACCAATAAGTCTCAATAAGGCCTCGATAGACCAAGTCAAGTTGCACATCATTCAGTGATCACAAAGGCATTCGCTTCAAAGCCAGTGATGATTCTCACACAACAAACATCGAGATGTGGAGTGAACCATTCATCATCAACTCTCGAAACAGCAAGAAAAAGGTTCATAACAGACGTTGAAAGATTACTTGTTTTGTTCTGTTGTACATATCTGTTTTATTTGGGTGGTCGCAGCGTAGCCGCGCGGTTTCAAAGCTCAAGCCGCAAGCCATAACAAGCTTTGGGTTTACTGAGATTGTTTTTGCTGGTTTTAATAAAGTTAAGATTAATTGTTTGTTTTCAATGTGACAATTTAGTTTGCCATTCTACTGGTGGATACCCCCGGGATTGCAGGCGATGAAGCATCCCCCGAAGTGCATAACTTCACCATCACTTTCATGACGATGTTCTGCGACATTTTGGTAGTAGAAAAGATCTAGAATAAAGATTTAATAAACAAGCTGCACGAAACTAACATGATGTTTCAGATTTATAATGCAAAAAACTTTGACATGGAAAACCTCAAGTCATTAGCTGAAGCGGTCGCCGTCACTAACAAGGAAAAGGTTTGGGAAATTTCTATGGTCGAAGATCCAAAGCTTTCAGGGGCAAATAGGACACCACAAATAGCGTATCTAAACTAAAATTAAACTCACAGAAAGCTGATAACTTTTGAACTGTTTCTCTAGATTGGCCTGGCCCAGGACTATTCCAAAAAGCCATAGGCCATGGGCTACTCTTCCTGCAGGGGGCAATTCCTCACTACCCCAAAAGTGAAGAAGTGCCTCACCACATAATGGAGGCGGACAATACTACACCGGGCAGTATAATATATATCCCTAAGTTCTAATAGAGTCACTGAGCGTTCGTCAGCAGGGCCATAGGCCATGTGCCTGCCAGGGACATGGCCTGGCCCTGGCTTGGACTGACCAGAACGGGGTTCAGGCTCAGTCCGGCCTGACCTGTTTGGCTGGCCCAAAGCTGACTTGTGAGGGTAGATTCCAGGAACAATTCTGGTGGAAAAGTACTCAAAGCCCTTTGCTAAGCCTTGCAGTTAGACACAATTAGGCTTATTTCACAATAAAAGTAATTACAGCCTCAGAAAATTGGCTACATTGTCAGTCGTGATATGCTCGGTCACGGTCACAAACTCAATCACGATCACAAACTTGGCCACGATCCTGAATATTTCAAGCGGGTACCTTATGAATGAAAATTCGCAAAAGAATCTACAATTTTCAGGATGGCATTCGAAGAAACCACCCACAACTGCTTAAGTTTATTGAAGAGGGATTTAAGAAGATTAAGGTTTTAGAGAAGCTAGGGTTAAAAATAATACAACTAGCTACAGATGTACAACTTCCCAAAACCACCCGAATGGGTTCAGGAGGCAAGTCATATCGATGAAGTGGCGAAAGTATCACCACCGAGTCAAGGGAAGCACGATGAAACTGATGGAGAAGAGACGGACAGTGGTGTGACATCCATCGAGACTCTACCATCATTCGATGGGGATCCCAATCCCACATTTGGTGATACCAACGGTCAAAGTGAGTTTCCCGATAACAATCAACAGAGATGCAACGGCAGAGTTTCATAATGCAATAACTTTAAAAATCCTTTAAGTAACGCTAAAAATGGGGAGTTTTTTGTTCCACATCAAAGCCTTATTTGAATCAATTAAACAAGATGCTGAAATGGTGGCCGAGAAAACGTCCAAAAGTCTTTATAGCCGGCTTCAGGCAAGTTTATGACTTTGTGTTCGAAAAACGATCTAAAAGTTTAGCTTGTGATTGCAAAGGCCGCCGAGCTAACTGAAAACCCCGCGATGAACTTGATGGTAATTTTTATAGACGAACTTTTCCTTTTTTTCCTTCCATTAGCTTGGTGAAGGTGTAATGAGACATTTTCGTAAAATTTAGATTATTCGGGAGTATTTGGCTCAACAGACAATGAAGTCCGCTGAATCATTCATGATCGTCGAGATGAAGAAAGTGAGTCTAAAAAAGGCTTAGAAATGCTTGGGACTTCTTTTATGTATCATTTTTGGTGTTTCTTTAGGAGTTGACTCGATTTAGCTTTACCATAGCTTATTATCATAGTTATTGGATAGAAAAACTGTTGAGTTTCACGGCTTAGTTGAGTCAGGTTAAACATGAAATTTTTCTTTCCGTAATTCCCTCTTGGTAAATTAAAGAGAAAAAAGTTTATTAGTTAGTTAACATCAATAACTAGAGAGAATTGACTCTGCTAAACGTGAACTTTAAACTTTAACTTTAAAGTTCTAGCCAAACATAGGCATACTTCTTACTAACATAAGGCATTCATAAAGAGCGTGTGACCCCAAAAACTTGTATGCCAAATATCTCGCGATAGAGAAGCGTCTGGCAAAAACTGATTGCAGATTCGGAATCAGTGTGAAAAACTGCATCATATAGGCTATTTCCCGAGTCAAAAACCACGATATGTTAACAACATTCCCTAGTTAGACTCGTAAATAACTTGCGTATTTCAGATTTGTGGGAATGATATGGAGGCAAAATTGCGACGTTTAGACAAGATCCATTGTGGAGCGAAGAGAGTTGGGCTTTTTTTTTGATTTCAAAAGTTCCTTTTTTCCGTTTTCAGATGATTCGAGAACGTTTGGCTGGAAATGGCACGGACTATGTGGAGGAAAAAGTCAAACAATTTGTCGAAAATTTTGCAGTACGCGATAATAATCTACACAAAAACACAACTCTTCTCTTGCCTTGACGCTTTTTCGAGCTCAATTTCTCGTAAAAACAGATTTACCTAGTTTTAAAGCTGATTTTATTTCCAATTCTATCTGAGTGTCCTAAGGAATGTTTTTAGTCGCTTTTGAGAGACAAGAAAGTCGATATCCTCATTGCACGGCTCAAGCAGCTCCTTGACGAACAACGTGATCAATACTTAAAGCACCTGGTTATTTGAACAATACTTGATAATTGCAGTTACTCTTTGCAGGGCAGACAAAGACACGGAGAAGTGAGTGATGAGGGATTTACTTGGATAAGTGAGAAAGAACGAACTGAAGACGAAGGCGACACTCGCTCTTTGGAGGTTAGGAATCGTATTTTCTAGGCGTATCGGCTTTTCAAGTGAACGGACTTGCTTTCTTAGGTGATCACAGAAGAAGATAAATCGTTGATGAGAAGAGAGCATGTCGACGGAAAAGTTCAACTCGTTGCTCGACGCGGCGAGTTTGTTGAGGACCTCTTTCGGGGTATTTTTGAAAGACTGAACTCTAGAAATCAAAGAAGCACAAAAATTTTAGGTTTCAACCTCAACGAACAACAGAAAAAAGAGTTGAAAAGGAGATCACTTCACAGGATACTTTGATAGAGGTTTTTTTGCTAACTTACCACTATTCATTCTATTTGTAGGAAAATTTCGAGATGCTATTGGGAAATTCGGTGCTAAGTGGACTTCGAAAAAGGCTCGTTGCTTTCAGTGTTCCTTTGGCTCAAACGGCCTGTGAGGATTTTGCCGAGGTTTCGGAAAATAAAAACAACGACACTAATTCTCAGTGTTTGCAGCTTGGCAAAAACTATGAGGCTTGGGGTTACCATGAATTGGTGGAAAAAATGAAACTGCCTAATGTTTGCTTTCAAAACTCAGAGCTTGGAATGAGCAAGGTTGGTACTAAAAAGTGATTACATTTCTTTAATAGTCTCACATTCTTTAGCTATCCATATTTGAAACAGATCTACACGAGGTATTAACTCGAGCACGAATCAGAAAAGTTAAGACGGATTTTAAAGAAAAGCTTTACTCGATCAAGAGTGATTTACTGCAAGAAGACCCAAATGTGCCATTGAACATCTCGAAAAACATAATTATCGATGTTTACGAAGAAAAAGTGTTGTTACCTGTTCAGGTGTTCAATTTTTGATAGCGATCATTAGATAAACGACTTTCAGCAAGCACTTTTGGATCTTGCCTCGCAAATCAACTCAAAAATGAGAGAAAACTTGCAAAAAGATGCAGAGAAATCACCGTTTCGGCTGCACATGGTATGATATCGGAATTTGGAGATATATACAGTGGTCCACAAAAGTATTGTCCCATTGCCATCCAAAAGTTTCTCTCGTACGAAAATCTTGCAAAAAAACGATATTCCCAAAAAGTGTAGGGTTTTTTGCTTACCCATAATACTCTACTTTTCAAGATTATAAGATTCGGAGCTTCTTCGGAGTATCAAGATTTTTCTTGCCAGCCATCTAAATAATAAGATAAAATACATTTAATGTTCATCGAACGCGAAAATAAAAAGAATAATCAAGGAAAACATCAATGGGACATTACTTTTGTGGAGCTATTTGTTAAGTAACTTATTGTTTTTGTTTTATACTTTAATTTTTATGCAATGTATACGGACAAATCTTATAATCTTGAAAAGTAGAGTATTATGGGTAAGCAAAAAACCCTACACTTTTTGGGAATATAGTTTTTTTGCAAGATTTTCGTACGAGAGAAACTTTTGGATGGCAGTGGGACAATACTTTTGTGGACCACTGTATATATACTTAAAATTATGCTTCTAAAATTGAATTAATAAGTGAGAATTTAGCTGAAATGCCTTGGAGCCTCATCGGAATCGCCAACAAAAGTACAGCAAAATGTAACGCTTTGAGTTAACTTAATAAGTATTCATTTGAATAAATCATTTTATGACTAAATCAGCGTGGGACAACCCAAAAATATGGAAAATTAAGTTGGGAATTTTGAAAAATCCATTTCAGTTTCTTTAAATCGTTTTCTCTGCCCTCGAAGCCTAGAAAATTGATTTAAATTGGAAAAAACGAGAGTACTTTAGCCTTATCCACCCTCCTGTCAAAATTTAAAAATCGATACCTAGGCAAAGATGCACAATTACCGTGAATTTTGTGGTTCGGCAGGGTTCTAGCCCGTTGAACTGCGTAAAAGCATTCTTTTTTAAAAGATTTATGAAAATAGTAAACAAAGCTTGCGTGTTTCACTTTAAACCGGCTGCGATTGAAAGCGTAAGTTTAATCAATCTAAATTTAATCAATGATTTAGCTGAATTAAGTTTCTCAGTTAGGGCCTCATCTATTTGCCCTGATGCTGATGACGCTAGACTATTTTTAAAATCCCCATCAAAGATGAAGCCGCTAAGTTTGCTTCTTTGAAAGACGCCATGTCAGAGCTTGATCTGGTTGAAAAATGGCCCGGTAATTGGAAATTAGCTTTAGCATCCACGATAAGAGTTGTACACGCTCAATTGGTTGCACTATCAAATGTCTTTGTTGAAAGGAAAATGACGAATGACATGACATCCAAACTAATCGTAAATGAATACCAATTCAGCTTCTTGATGTCGATTGCTTCAATTTCGTGTGAACCAAACTCAATCTCATGCACGTGATTTCCCAAAAACAATCGATGGTAGATTCGAAATAATTCGTTGAAATCCTTGATTGACTTTCACCAATGATCGATCATTGCATCAGGCTTGATGTAGAAGGCGTAAAATTTGGTGCAATCTCTATCTGAGTACAACATTTAGATGTAATTTCCCGCAGCATTGATAATTCATCGGAAACACTGTTAGAGATTCATCGGAAACACGTCTTCTGTTAGAGAGTGCTCTTCTAATGGAGAGTGCTTTTCTATTAGAGTTTTTACGGTAAGTTCTTATTGGTTCTGAATTCGAATCGAACAAATCCCAAACAAGTTTTAAAAGTCTCCGTACCCAGACAAATCTAAAATTTGAACGAAATACACTCGTTAAAACTGTACCAAAAAGATTATAAGTGGTTCTACAAAGATTCCAAATAATTCGAAAAGGTTTTGAATAACTCCAAAAAAAGCTCTTTAAAAAGTCCCAAATGACTACAAAAAGATTCCAAACAATTGCAAAAAGAGTCGGAAAAAGTCCAAAAAGTTCAGATAACTCTAAAAAGTTTACAAAAAGAGTCCAAATAACTCCAAAAAGATTCAAAAAAGATTCAAAAAAGGCTGTATAAAACTGCAAGATTATCCAAATAACTCAGTCTTTCAAGTCCAAGGTATGAATCTTTTCTAAAAGTCTTGAAATGTCTTCTAGTCAAGAGACTACCGAGTTGGCATCCAAGTCCAAAGTTTCCTATGACGTTTCTCACAGCTTTGAAAGACAGATTCCACCAATTTCCCGGATGATTTCATCGCAGCCGGGAAAATCTCGAGTTCGATCAGCTCTGCAAAATCAGTCTGCAAAAACGTGTAGAAGGTAACAGTAGATACCAAATCTCTTGAAACCGCATTTTTGAAATCTCCTTTATGAGCTTCAAAGTGCTCAAAAACATTGGATTCATAATCGATTGCTTTCGGACCTTGGTCATAACATTTTGAACACTTTTAAAATAAAGAAAAGAGATAAGAAAAGAAATGAGATTCTACCACGATGATGAGGAACTTTGGATGAAATGAGCCGAAAGAGACCGAAAATTATTTATTTTCACTCATTATTTGGCCTGGAACGGTGAGTTTCATACTGGTGCTTCATACCATGATAAGAATGGTGATAAAAAAATTTATAGGTCAGTTAATATTTATTACACTTATTACACATTAATTTTCGGCAAAAATTGAATTCCGAGTTTGGTTTCGGGGTCGTAGTCGGAGTCTCTCTTCTCTTCTTTCATCTCGTTGAGCTTTCGTGCGCACCAAGATTCATCAGCAAAGTCCTTGAGCAAAGTTTCCCAAGCACGGGGCTTTGCAGGCATTTGCTCTAAAATAGGAATCGTTTTTAATAAATCGGAAAACGCTTTCTTCAAAATAAACCAAAAACATACCTTGTTTTTTCTTGGTGAATTGATGTTCATCTTCCTTAAAGATCGCTTTAGCTCCAGGTTCAGGCTTCTTTTGGGGGATTGGCTTTGATGCCCGCGCCTTCGAGCTTTCACAGCCAATTCATCCGCCTGAAATGAACAAAATGAATCAAAGTAAATCAAAAATAAACTCTAGAACCATTCTGTAAATAACATATCATAAAGCATTACCTTCTGGTTTCCCGGATGTTTGTTCGATGTCGAATGTGCCTCCACCCATTGCAGAACCACCTTTGCAGGGAATTTGTCAAGGATGTGCCGGACAAATTTCAAGCTAAACGCAGAATATAAAGCAATATAAATGCAAGAACAAACTTGTCTTTATTCTTCGTTTCCAAAGTTTTCTTATCCTTGCCCTCAAGTTACTTCTTATCGTCCCTTTAGCAATGGCTGTCACACAACTTTTGCAATCCGTTCTTAGGATGATCGGCTGGTCTCTAAATGATCAAAAAAATTTTTAACCACAAAATTGATGGAAAGTATTATTACACAAATTAAAGTGCTTACTGATATCCCGCCCAGCAATAGAGTCTGCAAAGAGCCACAATGATCGCAAACAACTCCACAAGAAAAGAAGACTTCAGCCCATTCCCCATATGAAGCCCTCTAAATTTAAAAGAATCTTTAAATTTTGATTGGCTAATTGAACAGTAATCATCATTCAGTTTTACAAGAGAAACTACTTTTTAACTATATAGTGTAACTACAGTGATAGTACAAAAACACTTACAATTCAAGGGGGTGGCCATTGCCGAAAAACATTCCTATTCCACCGTATCCACCCTGTACATTGAAGCTACCATCCGTGTAGATAATCACGTGATTCTCCGGAAATTTTTGATTTCCTTCGTCCGCTGGTCCATCGATATGTCCTGTAAAAAAAGCAAAATGAATGATTGAAACATGAAACAAATAGACCTACCAAAATTTTGTGCCCCATAAGAATTGTTCCAGTTTTCGGCGCGATCTCTCCATAGCTAAAAACAATAAAATAAGCCATTGAGCGAGAGAAATCAAATAGACCGTTGGATGTATCTCAGATATTTTCATAAATAAATTTTCATAAATATTTTCATAAATAAATAAATTTCGAAGAAAACTTAAAAAATAATCAATTCGAAATTCTTTTTATAAAGATTATAAACTTTTGATAGATAAAACTGCATGTAATCATAGAATGCTATGAATTTAGCTATAAAATAAAAAGTTACCGCCAATTTGGTATCCTTTTTCTGCTGCCTCTTGGGATCATGTTCTTCGAAATTTTCTCGCTTCTTTCTAGTCGGCGCTGACTGATAATCATTTGCGCCCGCTTGCTGTCGTTGAGAATCTGAAAAAAGAGAGAATTGATAGAACTTAACTGGTTAGAACCAAAATTAGGAAAAGCGACAATAATTCATTCCGAAACTTTTATCTTTTTGGATCGGTATTCCTGGAATGCATATTCATGATTCAACATAAAATACAGTGAAGGCTGTAATAGTAGCTCCCCCCCCCTATAGGGGCGTCGCGTAGTCTAAGTTTACTCTAAACAAACGCTTATATCTCGACACCAGTGCGTTTGTTTCTGCGCGCGTAGGAATCGAATTAAAACAGAGAAGATGGGCGATTCTTTGAGACACATATTTTTAGCACTAAACAGCCCTTAGAAAAAAATGCTAGAAAAAAGAGTCAATTTTCGATCATTTTTTCTAAGGACTGCTTAATGCTAAAAATATATGTTATAGCTCAAAAAATCACTCATCCTCTCTTGCTTTCAAATGGGGTCTAGTATGTAAAATATGCTGTTGCCAAATCTGAAGCATAATTTTTCACGAAGAAATTTGGCATATTGGCAAATTTTGGAAAAATCACGCGAAGACAATGACAAATCTGGAAGCGGTAGAAACACAAGCAATTTTCCGGATCACAAGCTATTTTCCAGGGTTGTCGGCGTCGACACCCTTTGCCATCTCCAATAATTCAGATATCCCAGGACCGACATATCCTCTGCCAAGAACTTCCTGTAGGGTCAAGATGTAATGCGAATGAACGCTTGATGTGCCGATGTGTGAATATTGCTATACATAGGGGATTTATGTCACCCTTGAAATAGAATACTTTATTCATTGTTGCCATTGACCTAAAACGATCCAATCATAATTATATTTGTGCATGTAATTTGTCCAGAACCGATAGCTGTCACCGAACCAATCTAAAAGATTTTTGAAATCTTGTAATTTGATTTAAAAATCAACCATTCTTCATCTCCGGCTTTGGCTTTAAACTCAAATATTCATGATTGGCCAGAGTGAAGGGATTCCAGGGAAGTCTATCGGTTGAAGGATTGCTGAAAGGAAGTCTTGAGAGTCACAGAACAAATTAGAATACCCAGTTTTGACGAATTGAACAATAGCATCTTGAATGTATTTCTCTACAGCTTTGTCGTCATCTGTATAGACAAAGTTGGCACCCATTCCAAAGGTAAATGGGAATTCACTTGAATGGCTTGGTCCTGGAAATGTTTGTTGATTGGGGAATTTGATGAGAAGTGATTTTAAATGAGGGAAAGTTTTGTGATCCTTCTAGAGTTTATGGAAATGTTTTGTGATTAACATAAATCCTCAAAATCTCAACATTACTTAACTAATTAAATTTAAGATCTTAAAGACACCATTGGCCCTCTCTTCCCCTTGTATTTCCTCTTTCTTCTCTGGCAAAAAGATACTGGATAGCTCAGTGGTTAGATCATCTGCCGGTAAGCAAAAAAAGTCCAGGATGCAATCTCCTCTCCGGAAATCTGCCTTGGCTTGCTTACTTTACTTTCTTTTTGCTAGTAGACTGACATTGACACTTGCGTGACTTTTAGAAGAATCTCTTCGACAAATCTTTGAAAAACTCTTTGAAATAAAGCAAATCACCTTGGCATGGATAAGTTTGAGGCCAAGTGGTCGGATTATCATAGTCCAACAAAAAGCCGTAAACGGGAGCTCCGGCTTGAACTTTGGCAATGGCCTCTCTCAGCACTGGAACATTCATTCCCCAATCAGAATATGTCTGAAATTTTGTTATTCTAAAATTAATACCCAAAATGAATCAAATCAATGATATTGCTCAGATTTCACCTCAACATAACGTTCCAACCAATACATGGGATCACTTGAGGAATGGTTTCGTTTGTAGTAGGTGAGAATGTCTTGTTCAACTTGTTGTTTATCACTGGGAGAATAGCCCTTAATGTTTTTCGATATTCTATCATTGACGAAACTTCTCCCACAATTGAGGTAATCCATTTCTGAACATATTTAAGGAATTCATCTTCGTTGTAGCTTGGCCATTTGCTGGGAACAACTTCAAAATCGAAACCCGCCGAATTAAGCACTTAAAGTTTTTTTGATGATCTTTGACGTTATTTTAGTATTTAGTAAAACTGTCGCTAGTGAATTTAACGAAAACGGAAGTGCAAAGCCCACTGAACACTCTGGCCTCCACTCGATTCAACCCGAACATCGATGGGTATTTTGGCATTGTTTTCAGCAACTCTTCTGGCTAAATTATATCAAAAAATTATGACAAAAGCAAGAAATTTTTTTGGACTATGCAAAATAGAAAAGGTTTGCAAAATTATTGGCTTAAAACTATGATATGTAAGCTTTTCCTAACCAGGAAACCCTTTGAAGTTACATTTCAGTCATCATTTAATATTTTTAAAGGCTCAAAGCAGCAAATTAATTTTTTTTAAAGACTTTAGAACACTTAAAAATCAATTTTTATGCCTTAAGAAGCAAAAACGTTCCACCAGCGAGAGGATTCGAACTAGGGATAAGGGCCGCTAGGGGCTAGCACACCATCTACTAGGCCACCACACACACAACCTTCAAACGTCTTAAGTAGGCTAGCTGTTTGGCGAAATTAGCCTAAACTTTGAAGGCTTATATCTCGAAAATGGCTTATGCTAAGTAGGCTTTGAAAGCAGCTTTGGGATGCCCTTAACCAGGGGATTGCACATTGGAATCAGACCGCTTCTGAAATGTAACTTCAAAGGTAACCTGGTAAGCAGTTTCCGGGAAACGGAAAATTTCTTGGTTTCTGAAAATGTTTAGGATTTTTCATTTATTTTTTTTTTCGAAAAAACCCTTTCCGTCCACTCCTGTACCCTACCTGATTCGGCAAAAAATCCCCATCGACAATTGGTGCGAAACCGAGATAGTTCAACGAAGATGGACCACATCCCTGAAAAGCGTCGCGATTTTTGAAAGTTTAAAACTCTTTCGCCTCACCCAAGCGTTGTCCTCTCGCACTGACCAGAATTGTTCAACTGTCAATGCTTGAAGGCAACTTTAAAGCAATGATCACATGATTTGTAAACTGAAAGCCCACGATTTGTAATCGTTTTTCTGCACATCACAGCCCAATCGAGTTGTCCAATTTTTCGAGAACTCCTATCAGATAAAGTTAATTTTTTGAAAATGGAATGAAACCAAAGTGTTTGCGCCTCGAGGAGCTGCCCCAATGGTTGAGCCACTCATTTGGATTGTTTGTTGGAAGAGGGCTAAATCGAATTGTATGTTCAGGCTGATAAAGTAAAATTCTGAAAATCAGCTATCCAGAGCCCATTTTCAAATCCAATTACCCTATTTTCCCTAATAGTAGTGCACCCCGCCGAGCCGAGTGATCACTATTTTACAGCTTCCAAGTTTTCATAGAAACTCAACACTTGAATCCCCACAAGATCTCATCGTCAGCTACATTTTCCGACGCCACATCTATAGGTTCTGATCAACGGTTTTTGAGGAATTTCGAGCAATTTAGGTGAAGCTTAGGGTGCACTACTATTAGGGAAAATACAGTACCCTGAGTTTTCGGCGACAACGCGAGTTGAGCGATCGATTGTGAGCCGGCCGATTGCCCATAAAGTGTGACTCGTTTATTGTTTCCTGATCAATGAAATTTCAATTGAAAAAAGTCTAAACAAAGCTGAACCTCCAAATCGTCCAATATTATCTTGAACCCATTGCAAAGCGGCCGTTTGATCCCATAAGCCGAGATTTGGGGTGATCACCGAATCGTTTAACGTGAGAAATCCTAGAAAATTGAGTGACATTAGGTGGGTTGAATAGGTTTTAGTTCTCTATTTGTTCAAAGATTCAACTAGAGTTTCTGAAATATTAAATTTCTTTTCTATTAAATGTGAAATAAGTGAGCAGATCAATCATCGATTATTCCATCAAATTATTCCGCTGAATTGTAATATAGTGAAATATTGATCTACCAAGTTGCCCTAGTCGATATTGAATTGAGACGACGACGATTCCCCTTCGAACAAAATTCTAAAAGCATAGATTTTTTCATCTTTTGTTTTACCGGACTTCTCGAAAAGCTTCAGCAGTATAATCACCGGCTCTTCCAGTCTCATAGGCTCCACCATGAATGAAAAAGAAAACGGGGAGTTGACCCTGGGTTGAATGCGTTTTGAAAGAATTCATGTTTTCTTTTACTTGAAGATTCGGACTCCAGACATTCAAATACAAACAATCCTCGCTGTACAAGTCTACTTGGCTGGGATCACTGTAAAGGTCTCACCAAATTTATAATCAATCAAAATTTCCCACTAATTCACACAAGGAATGCATCCCTTGGAATACTTTGTTGCATTTACTGGCAAAGTCCACGGGGTGGATGGTTGGGGTTTCTGAAATTTTGTTTTGCAAACTTTTGATTTAAAATTGAAACTGACGATGAAGCAAGTCTCACCTCGTATCTCAACTTATAGATTGGCGGTGCCGCGAAGGGAATGCCCAGAAATTCGTTGATCTGTGTCCCATCAGAGGTTTTTTGGAAATTCCCAAGAACGGCTCCAGATTTCGTGATTACAAGTGGTTGATCACAGGATATCCCATGAATATAAACAATAGCTAATAGAATAGGGAGTTGTTTCATTGAATTCTCTGATAATTCACAAGTCAACAATCTCGGCAAGTGAATGTTGAAAGGCGACTGGAGAGAGCGGTCGTGATAAGCGAAATGAAAGATCAGATGACCGTTGTTTGGTTTCTAAAATGACGAAGAATTTTCTTTCGGAAACTAGGCCAAAAGCCGAAAGTCAGCTTTTCTTCTTTTGCCTTCTTTTGTGGCGAAAATACAGCCAAATTCAAGGGAAAAATTGATCTCAAAAATTTGGGCATAGTGACGTAAGGAAATGGTCAAAACGTTTAGAGGAACTCGAAAACTTATTAGCCTAGATTAAGACCAAATTGATTGTTCCAAGATTAGTTAGATATGGATGGACTTAACTATTTTGAATTTTCAAAGGACGATATCATACCAGCTGCTTTTAGCAGCAATTTCCAGATTCCTCGGTGGTGATGGACAACTGGACGAGGACTGAACAAACTGGACGAGACGGTGGTGATGGACATTGAGATGATCAAAGCTGGTAAGCTGTTTTTTGGTCAGCATTTTGTTCAAAAAGTTGTAAAGGGCAAAAAAAAGTCAAGTACTTATTTGTATGTGAAGGGAATCGATCGAAAGATAGCCACCGGCAATCACACGAAAGCTGTGGCGAATTGCCACTTCTCCGCAGTTAGTCAAAAATTCAATACACAAGTTAAAATTCAAAGTTGATGGATAAACTACCGTAATCAGTCACTAGACGATATTCAGCTGTCCGTTTGTTGTAGCTTGTATACTTTAAAAAACCCGTTATTTAAGCTTTGCTTTTGAGTGAGTTTTTTGTTCTCCTTTTTTGCTATCTATCATCCTTTTTTTCACATGCAAGTGTGGAATTAATTGTGATAGTGCCAGGTTGCTCCAGTTTGAGCGAAGTTTTTCCCTAATAAGGGAAAGTTGGATAAATTGTGCGTTTTCAAGAAGACCACTACCACACCGAGACACGGTCTCACAAGAAATTATATATGTCGTAGCCGTTTACGAAATTCAGCCGCTAACGAATGAGAGTATTTCCGGGCATCCAATCAAAAAGTCATCCACGTAAAAAATGTTCATAATACATATATTTTATAATAAATTTTTGAAATTAGCTCATTTGGTTCAGTAGAAAATTTTTTTTGAGCCCCCAAAGTTTAGGTTCAAAAATGCCCTAAAATGGCTATAAAAAATTTTCTACTCAGCCAAAAAACTTGCCTAATAGCTCATTTTGTAGCCAATTTGATGTAGTTTCTTAAAGTAAAGCTACATTGAACATTTGTTTTTCAAAGCTAGGAGAAAGAGGGCGAGGAACGACTTCAGTTGAACTCGGTCGCTGTTTTCACATTTGAGAATTGCCCTGAATTTGTTCCTCACCCTCTTTCTCCTACTTTCAACGAAAAATTGTTTTAGATGGCTTTACTTTAAGAATCTACATCAAATTGGCTACAAAATGAGCTATTAGGCAAGTTTTTTGGCTGAGTAGAAAATTTTTTATAGCCATTTTAGGGCATTTTTGAACCTAAACTTTGGGGGCTCAAAAAAAATTTTCTACTGAACCAAATGAGCTAATTTCAAAAATTTATTATAAAATATATGTATTATGAACATTTTTTCCGTGGGTGACTTTTTGATTGGATGCCCGGAAATACTCTCATTCGTTAGCGGCTGAATTTCGTAAGCGGCTACGACATATAGATCAAATCATAAACATATATTTCTTACAAAAGCCTTGGTGAACAATCAAATATGATAGCAAATATGAAGAGTAGAAATATTCGGTGAATTAATGAAAATGCTCTTTGATTGCCAATAAACCACTGTTTGACTGTTTGAATGCTTTGAACCACTGTTTGAACCTAGAAATTTTGAAACACAAACGGTTTGCACTGTGTTTTACGGCTAAACAACTTTTAGTCGAGTTGAAACTTTAGTTTTTTTTTGCAGAAGATAAAAAACTGTAAAATAACTTGAAACTGAATGTAGCAAAACGCTATAGGAAAGAAATTTTCGATCCATTCAGCACCAGTACCAAAAACAGTACCAAAAAAATGTTGGTGTATCTGAAATTTGCACTTTTTCAAGCAAATAGGCAGCACAGTTAGTACTTTTCATGCTTCAGGCTTGCTGATAGAACTAAAATTCAAAGTTTCATCTTACGCAATACGAAAATGTTTTATCAAATGATAATCCGAGTCAAGTCACTCATTTTCAAAAAGCTATTTGGCAATGACTAAGTTTAAAACCAAAGTTTGGCACCCATTTCTTGAAGTTTTTATGAATTCTAGACAAGTTTGTCGTCTCATCCATTCCCTTTTGCTAAAAGAGACAACCTTTTCAGTCAAAACCACCGTAATTCAGTCGTCATTTTTCATTCAATCAGCCTAATTTTGATATCATTGACTGAGCTTTGTGCTTTCCTCGTCGAATGTGACCAAAATTGGGCTGGTCGAATGAAAAATAGCGAGTGTATGATGTGCATGTGAAAAATAGCGATGTTCATTTTAAAAAACGGATTAATCTAGAGAAACTAATACATTAAACCAGTTCCCCAGAGTCACTTTCTAATCATTTTTTGTGATAGAGGTCATCTCGTCGCTTGCTTGGACGGCCTTGGCCCATTTCCCCAAACCAATCCACAAAAGCGATGGCGCAATCGTGCTAAACGGACGTTCGCCCCGAGAAAAAACCCGAAAAAGCCAGTGATCCTTCATCTTTTTTATGATCATATCTGATAGAATATCTCTTTTCTCTTTTCTTCTTATTTCCTTTTCAGATTGCCTCGGTAAGGCTATTCCTGACGCTTTTCTTGGTCATCTTTTGAGCTATTCAAGGTCATTATTGACTCCCGAACACTGAATACTTCTTTCATTTCATTTTATTTAATTTCATTCATTTATTTTTTGTCGATGAAAAATTCTCGATTTCAATCTGGACAAGCTTTGAATTAACGACAGTAATTCGTGCAAAACTGACATTGAAACGGAAAAACTTTCCGTTCAAGAAATTTTGAGCGTTGAATACCATATTTGTTTTCAAAAAGTCCATAAGCTTAATTTGAAATTTGTAAAGATCCAACAACTTTTTAGTGATAGGTTTGTTTATTTTCGCTGCAACATCGATTTCCGCCTTTTTCAGTTAGAAAAGTCATTGTTTCAACTTATCTAACTACTGATCTGATTGGATTTAGTCAATCTCATTTGATTCCTTCAATTTTGTAAAAATATTAAGCTTATATAACAATGCTTTGTTTAGAAAAATATCTAGTTTCTTTTCTTGATAGTAAAATTTTCCGGTTTCAACCTGGGAAAGCTAATAGTGACAGTTTTTCTTTGAAAAACAAAACACAAATTGATTGGCACCAATTTTCTCGTTTGGTTTGACCAAGTTCTCGGTATTAAAAACATAGCTTGTGCCATATTTTGTTTCTAATTTTGTAAAGATTCAAAATTCTTACATTCTTCCTTAAAGTAACAGGATAGTAACAGTTTTTCTTTGAAAAACAAAACACAAATTGATTGGTACCAATTTTTTTGTTGCTTTTCATCAATTTATAATAAAAAGTCTTAGTTTCAACTAAGTAAAGCTCAAAATTGATTCGCAATTTCTAATCGTGCCATTTCCAATGAAATTTATCTTGAAAGTTACTGCAAAAATCGAAAATTTCTCAGAAATACAGCAATTTTAAGTAAAATAACAGCTTTTCCCTTACTTTGATATCACAAAATTAATCACTGGCTATTTTTTAGAAAATTTTAAGCCCTTTGTCCACTTGATAATCACAAGAAAACCCTAGTTTCAACCCAGCGAAGCTGAAATTCGTTTCAGAATTTCAAATAACATTATGACAATAGATTTCTTTAGAAAAATCAAAAAACTCAGCCTCCATATTGCCCACTTTGACCTACTTGTTCACACCATTTGAGAAAGAACACTTTTTTTTTCCTTTTTTCAAATCATAACCCGTGAAATCTGACCCAGATCACTGGTTTGTTATCTGTTTTAAACTCTTATACCAAGTTTTATATAGTATCCGATCTTTTTCAATAGAATTTTTGCTTAGAAACCGTTTGGCTGAATGGTTGATAATAACGTGAAACATTAAAATTTGAAAAAAAGGCATCCAAAGAGTCGAGAACTTTGAAACTCGTAGTCACTTGTATTGTTTTTGCCATTATTGTCGAAAAGACGTTCAGAAGGTTGTTAAATCTTGAATACTGTTGAAAAATACTGTTTTTTTGCAGCAAAACTCGACTCTTGCAGCTTTCCGAATTCCCCTTTCCCTTTCAATTCACCTCGGATGACCCAAACTTTCCCCAATTCACGGCTTCTATTCAAAATGAACAACACATGAATTTCTTGACCCTTTTCCAACTCTTTTCACTTTGTCGAGCTCAAACTCGAGACTTTCTCTCACTTTCTGACTTGACTTTCCATTCTTTTCTTTCAGTTTTCTTTCTTAAAACTTTTCTTTTCTCTCTTCACGAGTGAAATCCCTTTGTCAAGATGACCCGATTTCACCGACTCCCCTTTCTTCTGCCGGAAAAACCGCAAAACGCTAATCCACTGTGGATTTTCGTTTTTTTGGTCCTTATTCACTTTTTTCTCTGCAAAATTCTACTTAGCTTTCAAAAATAAAGTTTCTAACGATATGAGATGGATTAAATTATTGATTTGAAAATGTTCTCACCATGAACACTTTGAAACTCAATTTTTTTCCCACTACAAAAACGGTTTTAGTCCAATATTTTAGCCTTTTCACTGAATTGCTAGTTATTGTTGAGATTTCTTTGCAAAAATAGGAACCTTAGGATTTGCCGTTAGTTTTAATTGTTGAGCAAAGAAGGGGCTTGATGAGTGGAAATTTGAAACTCATCCTTTATCTTCTCAAAGCATTCTTTTGAGTTCTATTTGAATTTAAACAGCCAACAGTAGAATCTGTCATTATCAGTAAAAAGGGTTTCAGCATCAATCTTTTGAAACACAAAGTTTCAAATCGAATTTTTGAAACTAGT